AAAGGTGGATAAAGGTTCTGCCTCTTAAGGGCATCACATTAATAGAATACACCAAACATATTTTGAAGTCAGTCTGAATCAGATGTCAGTGGCAAGGACTAATTTCAGCATCCAAGTCCAGTCTTCACTATCTCCTATGAATTACACACGAAGCCCTATGCATATTGCAGACTTAAAAATATGAAACTAATTAATTTTTTAACAAGTGGGGGAGGAAAGAGAGGACTGTAAAAAGAAAACATGAGGCTAGGATGCAGCACTTGAAGCGGAAGGAGACATCCAAGACAAATTTCATTGGATAGCAAGTGCTTTTAATAATATATAAAGTTTGGCTATTTTGTCTTATTGCTTTGTTAACCTGTCTTGGAAAATACATTCAGATAATATCATTATTCTCTTGTAAGTAGAATCCCTATCTATGTCTTTTTTGTTGTTGTGTGTATGTACGTATATGTATATATTTGCCCCTCCCCAAATACCAGTATGTAGCCTACTTTAAATAGGATGCTAAATCTTCATTTCATCAGATTTCACTAGAGGCAACGGATACACCTTCTAGGAGGATGTTTGTCAGGGAGGAGAACACATGTTCCATATAATTATCACACAAATGGTTTCACTACTCTACTTGCACGTGCGTACATTTTTAAAAAATAACATTTTTCCTATTTTTGTGCTTGTTGTCACAGACAATCAAGCAGGTGGCTCTTTAGAGGTTGACTGTTCTTTGAAAATAAGAAAAGGTCTTCATGAACATCTGTGTAAAAGACATGTACAGGGGAATCAGCAGGGAGTTCTGGTGCATTATATTTGTTTCTATTCTGACATGACAAACCACTTTTGTGGATTTTTGTTTATGAATTCTGTGGCCGGAGTAAATCCATGTAGTTCTTTGGCCTATAAACAATTGTGAGCTGCACCATCAGTTTCAAGATTACTTGGAGTTACTGTAATGGAAAGAAGTGGTATTAATCGTGAACATCACCACTCCTGATGTTGGCCACCAGAAAAATCAGTACTTCACAGGAGTGACTTGCCTCTGACAGGGAGAAGTTTTTCCTGGCAAAAGGGTCTCCCACATATGGGAGGCTCCTAGGCTATTTGTACATAAAAAGCTGATTCTGTGCTCAGTGGAAGCAAGTTCAAGTCAGATTGAGTTTCAAAATTGTCAAAGGTACTCTGTTACCATGAAGGGGAGTCTACTCCAGATCAATTTCATGAAATAGCTGGAAGCTGGCATGGCCTATTCCTTTGTAAGTAATGGGAGCTAAACTCCCCGCAGAACCCACCCCCCACCAATCTTCTGAGAGTGACCGGGGGGGGGGGGGCAACAGCTTCAGGCTTAGTTGGATCAAGCCAGTCAGGCTTTGGATGAGACATTAAATACACTACATAACATTCTCAACCCTGCTTCATTTGTGTTCACTCTTTTTTGTCTCAGTACTTTGCCGAGCCGATTTTTAATTATCAAAATTTACCCAGTGGAAGACACTTGTAACATTCATGGTATTTTGTGTCTAGGAATTAATGATCTGCTAGGTGATATTTCAGCCTTTAAAAATCACTCTTATTGAGCTGCTTTTGCAAACTGCTTTGGGTATTATCTTCATTTTCAAAAGCAGTTGCTTTATGCCAGGGGACAGCAAGGAGCACAAATTATTTATATATATTAATAGAATCATGTAGTTGTATTCTTGGTTATGTAATTATTTCTCATTACTATCCAGGGCTTTTTTGATGGCATTTGCTATATACAGTAGAGTCTCGCTTAATAATATTTATTTATTATTTATTTGCGACATTTATATGCTGAAAATGTTGGATAATAAGGAGGGATTAAGGAAATGCCTATTAAACATCAAATTACCTTATGATTTCACAAATTAAGCACCAAAACATCCTGTTTTATTACAAATTGACAGGAAAAGCAGTTCAATGCATAGTAACATTATGTAGTAATTATTATATTTACAAATTTAAGACCAAAATATCGCAATGTATTGAAACAGCTGCTGATCTGGAGTAGAGGCAGGCTGCATTGGATAACACAGAATGTTGGATGAGCAAAGGCTGCACTATTTCCTAGAGAGTTGCAGAGGACCTTAAAGTTCCAAGGCCCATAACACAGAAAGTATCCTTCACACATTACACTTCCCAAGCTTAGATCACATTATTTAATTAATTATAGTTCTGGGTTGCTTTTCACCTGAGCTGATTTTTAGGAACTCCATTAAAATCAATTAAGAGCTACAGAATCCTGACTGTGCAGTATTCCATATGCAGAACAAAAATGCCCTCTTTGACCTGTGTTTTTGTCAGTCAGCATATCCCATCTAAATCTGCATAGTTATCAGATAGTCCAAGACAAATCAAGCATGGAAAACAAACTTCATACTGCAAAAGAAAGAAAGGGCATGAAAAAGTTCGCAGCAATTTTACGATGGGTTTTGATATTCTACTTCAATCTAATATACCAATGAAATTATATATCTTGAGGGCTGACTCTGAAGACTTTCTAAAGATTGGAATTCACTTCATCAACAACCCGCCAGTCCAAAGACATTCTTTAAATTTCAATACCAAGAATGTTTAACTGTGAAATTAAATTGGTAAAATTATCATCCATTTCCATATTCGGATTAACTAAATGCTGTAAATTTGATGCTCTTCTACAACTCCAAATATATTAAACCTTGGGCTGCAGTAAGAGTAAGTGCTGGGTTGTTGTAGATTTTTCGGGCTATATGGCCATGTTCTAGAAGCATTCTCTCCTGACGTTTTGCCTACATCTATGGCAGACATCCTTGGTGGTTGTGAGGTCCCTTGGAAACTAGGAAAACTGGATTTATATATCTGTGGAATGTCCAGGGTGGGAGAAAGAACTCTTGCCTGTTGGAGATAGGTGTGAATGTTTGAATTGGCCACCTTGATTAGTATTTGATGGCCTGACAGGTTTTAGGTGTGGCTTGTTACTGCCCAGGGAAATCCTTTGTTGAGGAGTGATTAGCTGTCCTTGATTGTTTCTTGTCTGGAATTCCGCTATGTTTGAGTGTTGTTCTTTATTTACTGTTATAATTTTAGAGTTTTTTAATACTGGTAAAAATACAGGGGAACTCCAGTCAAGAAAAAATCAGGGACAGCTAATCTCTCCTCAACAAAGGATTTCCTCAGGCAGTAACAAGCCACACCTAAAACCTGTCAGGCCATCAAATGCTAATCAAGGTGACCAATTGAAACATTCACACCTACCTCCAACAGACAAGAGTTCTTTCTTGGACATTCCACAGATATATAAATCCAATTTTTCTAGTTTCCAGCAGATCTCACAACCTCAGAGGATGCCTGCCATAGATGTAAGCAAAACATCAGGAGAGAATGCTTCTAGTACATGGCCATATAGCCCAAAAAAAACTACAACAACCCAGTGATTCCGGCCATGAAAGCCTTCGGCAATACAAAGAGTAAGTGCATTTAATGTTTTACTCTTCAGTATAAAAGAATAGAATTTTAAAAGGAATGTTTCTGTTAACATTCCAAGGTGTCACCCATAACTTTTCTTCTGATAGTATTATTATCATCCAGAAACAACTGGGGGCTCTCAATGACAAACAGTGCTGTTTCTTGACTTTATTTGGTAGCATTGCACAGTAGTTATATATAATAATTTAGACAATGTAGCAGGAGTAGCCCTGCAGTAATCACATCTACATTCAACGATTGGAGATAAGTAATTACTAGTTTGTTAAGCTATTAACACATATGAGTTTTTTCTTAATGTGGCTTAACTCACTGAATTCCCTGATTAATGCTGGAGTTAATCTTATACATTAATGAGTTCATTATTTATAGCATGTTAGAATCTGTTGGGCATCTCCATCTGGCAGACTGGGAGTAACAGGAATGGTTAAAGATTGGGACTGGAACATACCTCCAGTGTTAGACATGTTAATTTGCTTGCTGTAGATGAAACAGAGAACATTCTGAAAACCTATCCAAAGAATATTTGGGAGTAGATTACGAATTGTATTCAGGAGCAATTGAAGAACTAAGTGGGGTTGGGAAGGAAGAAAAATAGACCTAAAATAGAATGATGGGATGGTTTGTATTCCCTTTCCCTCAAGCAGCCACATCCCTTACTGTATGTCTAATCTGTTACACCTGTTCCCACCAACCACATTCTTCTCAATCCTCCTCTGGATTGTATCTAATTTTATTGTATAATAAACAATGAGTCTGAGTACCCTTCGGGGTGAGAAGGGCAGCATATAAATGTCGCAAATAAATAATAAATAAATATTATTTTGCGTGAGCTGCAGTGTACCCATTTGTCATCCAGTAGTGTGTTTATTGTTGTTTATGCAATACTAGGCACTTGATAATTCAGTGGAATGTTTTCCTCATGTTTCCAAAACACAAATTCCATGTCTCCCAGCTTCTCCGCCTCAACCCCCTCCTATTCCGCTTTTCACCCACTCCCTTCTTCAACAGATCATAAACACTGGTCACTTTGATAAAGTTCGAAGTTTTAACGGGCAAGTGAGCAGCACATGTGTTATGGAGGGAAGAGAAGATTGCTGCAGATGAGAGACAAAACTTAACCAAACAGGCAGTGAAATTGTGTTCCTAAGGATAGCATTTCCCAAAGTAACAGTTTCTAGCTGCGTTGAAGTACCAACATCACCCAGCAACAAATTATAATATGGGCTTTTGGCAGGTGGGAGGGATTCCACATCAGGAAAAGCAATCTTAAAATAATAAAGACCACTTTTGAAAATAATAGTAATAAAATTTACTCAGTTCAATTCTCTGCAAATCCTATTGTTTATCCTGGTGTATTCAAACAGGGAATCAATAATGATAACTTAACATATTATGTGATTTCCCATCATTTATGTTAGCAATACTGAATTTCCCAGTTTCTAACATTTAAGATTCAATTCTCAAACAACATTTCAAGCTCTGTCTACATCTGAGTGTGTGTGTAACTGTGTATCTTACAGGCCACTGTCACGGAAAGGGTCAAGATGTCAGCCATACCAAACAGAAGTACTTTGACATGCAGGACTCTGATATCGTATTGATGGAAGAAAATATTGAGTCATCTCCAGATGATTCAACAGATCTCATTCACAGCTCCACAAAAGAGTCATCTTTGACCTTAGAGAGTAAGTGAATATTGGAATAACCGAGGCGGTAAATATGATCAGTGTTTCTCTTCCCCCCCTCCCCACCCTGAACAATTTATATCTGTTGTGTACTGAGCCAATCAGTATATCACTTATGTTTAGCTACACTCATCCCTCCACATTCACTGGGGTAGGAGTTCAGTACCCTTGTGAAAGTGGAAATACCATGAATTAAAAACCATCTTTTTAACCTAAGAGAACATCTCTCTTGGAATCTCTAGGTCCTCCACTGGGAAACTGGCCATAAAATTGTACTGAGGGTGCTACAAATGTCTAGAGAAGTGTTCTCTACAAATCTTTAAGTCCTCCAGCACACTTGTATGATCAGACTCTGGGAGAAGTTGAGGAACCCTCTGAATATAATGGAGCTGGTTGGGCAGATGGCAGCGGAGAGAGGGAATTGTCTACCATCCTCTTCCGGCAGTTCAAAGACCTTTGCATTCACAGAAGGACTTCTTCCATGGATGGAAGGACTCCCAGTTCTCTACAGTTCAATTTTTCAGAAATGCTCACTTAATAGTAATAAGAATGATATTATACAGCTAATAGTTAGTAATTACAAGTGTAGCAGTAAATGTAGCTAAGCAAGCAAAAGTGACTCACATCACAATTCTGTACATGAGACAAAGATTCACAAATACTTGACTTAAGACCACAATAATTTCTTTTCTCTCTCTCTTTTGGATCGTTTTCTTTGCTTAGCAAATTGAAGGCAGAAGCGTAATGTTTCCTTGCCTGCTTTGGAATGACGTCAGAGCATAATTCAACTTTTGATTCTCCATGACAGGCACTGTTATTGCTGAAAGCAATGGCTCAGAAGAGGTGGAAAATTTGGGAGATGCTCAGATGTCTGAAGAGATGCTAGCCTTAGTAGATGAGTTTGAAAACTCTTGGCCCCTTGAAGGCTTTGAAGGGGCCCTCGAAGTGAAAGGCCATCGGATGGACCTGCAAGGAATCCGTGTTCTCAAGAAAGGTTCTCCAGATGGACTAGCTAGCTCCTGTTTTGGAGACTGTGGAGATGATGACGATGATGAAACTGAGTGGGTAAGAACTCTCATCAGCAAGGTCTTACTGTCCCCGCATGTCTCAGGTCCTGTTCTGATTTTACTGTTACCAATAGGAATATCATTTTGATAAATTATGTGGATTGCCTGTCAGCTTTTGGATTTATAAGATTCTTTCCATTGTAGCTTTCATTGCTGGAAATGTTGCCCAAACTCATTTTAAACTAATTATTTTGCATGCTTTTGTTTGTGTAATTGTCGAATTAAGATGCAAGCAGAATAAGGATGGCCAGAGAAACTGAGAGAAAGTAACCTGTGTGGAAATTGCCCTTCAAATCAACTTAGTCTGCAAGAAGTCAGCTAACTCTTCATTCTTAACAGCACGCCTGCTATATTTGGTCCTCTTACCCCCACATGTTTTTCTTTGACAGATCACATTCCAAGTAAAACGTGTAAAGAAACCCAAAATGGAAAGTGTAGATCTACAGGAGCCTTCAGGGAGAAATGGAGAGGAAGGACTGAATGGAGAAAATGACAATCTTTACCAAATGGCACTGGAGATCAGTGGGCCAAAAATACCCTCCCCTGGGCCACCAGGTAGTAATTTCAGGGTGTTTTTTTTTTTCAAGAACAAGACTGGAACCTTTTTAACAACTTCTGGGTAGATTTCTTTCACATATCAGGTGACTTACAATGAAAGATTACATGGGTAGATATTATGCAAAGTAGCCTACTGTCTCAGAGTGCTGAATACAATTTACTTCCAAGTTGATGTCCACAAATTTTCAGCCTCTTCTTTGGAAGCAAGCAAAATTCGGTACCAGATGAACAATGTGATTTTATCTAATCACTTAACTTTTGTTTTTGTGTAATTCTCCTACTCTTTTCCCATCATGAACATGTACGCCATCAGCCCACTCACAATTTGCTTATCACCTTATGCCAAAACACAAAATCTAGGCTAAGGAACCTTTGGCTTGCTAGATGGTGCATCTCCAAGCAGCTCTGCTCAATGTGGCAGTGATAAAGGGTTGTAGGTTTAGAATCATAGAATAGAATCATAGAATCATAGAGTGGGAAGAGGCCTCATGGGCCATTCAGTCCAACCTCTTGCCAAGAAGCAGTAAAATTGCATCCAAAGCATCCCCAACAGATGGCCATCCAGCCTCTGTTTAAAAGCTTCCAAAGAAGGAGCCTCCACCACACTCTGGGGCAGAGAGTTCCACTGCTGAATGGCTCTCATAGTCAGGAAGTTCTTCCTAATGTTCAGATGGAATCTCCTTCCTTATAGTTTGAAGCCATTGTTCCACGTCCTAGTCTCCAGGGTAGAAGAAAACAAGCTTGCTCCCTCCTCCCTATGACTTCCTCTCACATATTTATGCATGGCTATCATTTCTCCTCTCAGCCTTCTCTTCTTCAGGCTAAACATGGTCAACTCTTTTAAGCCGCTCCTCAACAGGCTTGTTCTCCAGACCCTTGATCATTTTAGTCACCCTCCTCTGGACACATTCCAGCTTGTCAGTATCTCTCTTCAATTGTGGTGCCCAGAATTGGACACAATATTCCAGGTGTGGTCTAACCAAGGCAAAATAGAGGGGTAACATGACTTCACTGGATCTAGACACTATACTCCTATTGTTGTAGGCCAAAAACCCATTGGCTTTTTTTTTCCACAGCAAAAACTTGTTTAACTTGTTGTCCACGAGGACCCCAAGATCTTTTTCACACGTACTGCTCTTGAGCCACATGTCCCCCATTCTGTATCTTTGCATTTCATTTTTTCTGCCTAAGTGAAGTATCTTGCATTTGTCGCTGTTAAACTTCATTTTTGTTAGTTTTGGCCCATCTCTCTAATCTGTCAAGATAGTTTTGAATTCTGCTCCTGTCCTCTGGGGTATTGGCTATCCCTCCCAATTTACTGAAGTCCACAGCTACATCCACAACATTCCCCGCATCTACCCAGCTTGTAACTATATCGAAAAAAGAGATCAGATTAGTCTGGCATGACTTGTTTTTGATAAATCCGTGTTGACTATTAGCAATGACCGCATTCATTTCTAAGTGTTTGCAGGCCACTTCCTTAACAGTCTTTTCCAGAATCTTGCCTGGTATCGAGGTGAGGCTGACTGGGCGGTAATTGTTTGGGTCATCCTTTTTTCCTTTCTTGAAAATTGGGACTTCATTGGCCCTCCTCCAATCTGCTGGAACTTCTCCCGTTCTCCAAGAACTCTCAAAGATGTTTGCCAATGGATAATGCATGGTCTATAATGAAAAGCTTGTTTCTTTTCTACAACCGTTATATCTGGTGTGTTATGTGGCAAGTGTTTATCTCTTCAGATTCTAAAATTCCAGAGTATTCTTACTCCTTTGTTTTCTGTGGTCTTTTATGGCTTGTGCTCATTCCAGGTTTTCCTGCAGGTTTTACTGCAGGAACCTTCTTGCAAAGGTTCCAGTGCACCATTGCTGCTAGCCTGTTGTGACATTCAATACAGTCAGTCTGGGCTATTTTCTTGCAACTACAAATGAAATGCTTCACTGTCTCGTCACTCTCTTTGCATAGATGGCACTTTGAGATTGTAGGACTTTTCAATTCTTGTTTTTATTGAATTTGTTCTTAAGGCTTGTTCTTGTGCAGCAAAAATCAGGCCATATTATTATTACTGTTGTTATTATTATTATTATTATTCTGCTTTTTCTCTCTAAAAGACTCAGAATGACTCGCAATAAAACCAATACAATACAATGAAAGCCTAAAAATATACAAACATTAAAATGAAGTTAAACATGTATTATGTTAATACCACCACTTCTAGCTAAGCCCTTCAACCCTAGCTGTTTCAGTGAGCTATCCTCCCAAAACAAAAACAATGGAAGGAATTTCCGTTGTTTTACTTGTAACATTATTTACTATTTTATAAACTTTTTTTACCTGCTCTTTTCCAGGAAAAAGGAGAGACTATCGCAGCCTGGGCTGGCCAAGTCCTGATGAGTGCCTCAAACTCCGCAGAGTAGAGCTTACTACAGTAGCCAGCACATGGCTAGCTGTTTCTGCTAAAAATATTGAGTGAGTATGAACAAAACTAGGTCAGCGCATAAACTAGGACAGATATGTATAGCATAAAATATCCTTCCTGATAAGGTCGTACACTGAACGGTGACTATACTGCAGGTAAACTATAGCCTTTCACCTACTCTGGCAGTATTATTGTTGGAGCTAATAATGTCATCCATATTAATCCAAGCTTATTCACCTAATAGCCTCTAATGTCAGATAAGTCATCATTTACCAATAATATCTTCTAGCCGTTGATAATGCTTTCATCATGCATTAATTGACTAATTCAGAAATGATCTGGAATCAGGAATGAGTACTGAAGTAGCTAAGCCACTTCCACCATCACCCCAAAATTGGAAGGATTCCAGAAACATTTCTCCAAAGCAGGCAGACAAATCGCAAATGCCGTTTTCAATATACCAAGTACAGAGGAATTAACATATATTTATGTTATTGGAACAGATTGTGGTTGCCTCAAAGAAATAGAGGGATTGTATTGGCTAGATAGACGATACATGATTTCACCATTTTGTACTGAAAACAGTAAATACATTGTATTGTCAAAAGGCTTTCAGGGCCAGAATCACTGGGTTACTGTGAGTTTTCCAGGCTGTTTGGCCATGTTCCAGAAGCATTCTCTCCTGATGTTTCACCCACATCAATGGCAGGCATTCTCTGAGGATGCTTGCCACAGATGTGGGTGAAACATCAGGAGAGAATGCTTCTGGAACATGGCCATACAACCTGAAAAACTCACAGCAACCCACTAAATTTCTTATTTCTTATTTATTTACAACATTTCTACCTGCCTTTCTCACCCCGGAGGGCTCTCAAAATGCATTCTTGGGAATTTAGTAGAAAGGGAGTTTTAAATTAAACTTTCATAATGCTTTTGTATACATTCAAGATGACATCACATTGGCATACATACCATGTACATTTCTAATTGACCTGTCATGACTAGGAGATTATAGAGGTAAAAATAGTATAAACCAACTTGCTAAAAAAAAACCTCATGGTTAAAAAAAAGATGGGTGTGCAACATGTTTAGCTAGAAATAAGTTTCAGTTTCAGTTCAGTTCACTAAAACTAAACTGAACTGAAACTGAGAAATAAGTAACACCATGTTCAGTGGCACTGATTCTCCCTTCTCTGGAAATTTGAAATCCAAAACACTCAAAAAACAGGGAAAAAATGCCAACAGCCTCCCATTTTTGCCTTTTGGGGAAAGGGGCCAGTCACACATCCAGATAACTTGATATAGCTCCAATTCTTAGAATTTTGATTATTCTTCTCATAATTTCTTTTCTGTATTTTAGTGTTGTTAAGTATTTACTGTTATATTTTCAAAGTGACTTCCACAAAAAAGAAACTGTACCCTCTTTTAAAGAACTAATTAAAGAATTTAGAACTATCTAGCATGATGCAAATATATCGTGACTAGCAGATAAGCTGGTGTTTCACTGAATCCCTTTTACTTCAACCTTCTTTTCTAAGTACTTGACCTATGCTATCAATATCCTCTTCTCTTCCTTTCTAGTATAACAGAGCACATAGATTTTGCCACTCAGCTGCAAGAGCCAGCCATGGAGCCTCTCTGCAATGCCAATCTGCCTGCCAGCATGCACACCCTGGATCACCTTCAGGGCGTTGCCAATCGAGCCAGTCTCCATTACTTGGGAGAGAGTCAACTGAAAGAGGTAAACTATCATTCAACCTCATTAACACACACTGGGTTAGATCCAGACTTAGTCATGCTTAAAGAGACATAAGTAGTCATGACTCCACATCTCCCAGTGATTCTAGTGAGTCTGTTCTAAATATCACTGAATCAGAATCAGGCCTCTGGGAAAAAAGTACCGGATTTATGGCACATGCTGATTAATAGTGAATACTTGCGGCCATAGATAGTTTAGCAGCATGTATGAAGAGGATGTTCAGAAATTACTTCCTGCTGGCCTAAATGACACAGTTGCACCAATGCAGGAGAAAAGATGAGTCACAAAACAATCCATAGATATACTTCACTTCACTTCGTCACTTAGACGATCCGTTCCTCAGCTTATGCACAGATCACATCATTTTCTCAATAGATACACTACTGCTTAATACTATTCAGCATCAGTGGTGTGCTACCTCATGGTGTTCTACCTCATAGTGTTGCATTGTTAATGGGAGGCCGCTTACACACACCTAAGGATGACAGACAAGTTTCAGTTGAACAGTTCCGCCATATGACTTATGGAAATCTGAAGTTCTGAGTGAACATAATTCCACACTTTCCTGGCAAAATTAGGGGAAAGTGTTCACATGACCTGTCAGAATTATCATTATTATTTGATACACAACAAAATTAGTACATGGCAAACAAAATCACTATGCTGGCTTTTGTATTGGATCACATGTTGGACACTTCCAAGCTGTCTAGAACTGAGTGATGTATCGCAAATAATTCATGCTGATATGAATAGGATTGCCCTTTGCAGCTGACAGATGGTAATTTTGTCAGCGCCAATTGTTTTCAAGTGCTCGCCAAGGTCTTTAGACACTGCAGCCAGTGTGCCGATCACCAGTGGGACCACTTTTACTGGCTTGTGCCAGAGTCTTTGCAAAATTCATAATTAAAATTTTTTAAAGTCTTTGCCCCTTCTTAAAAGGCTTTTAAAGGTCAAAACCAACACTTCTTACTTTGCTCAGAAACTAATTGATATCCAGTGGATGTAATATGGATGTAATATGCTCACTCCTAGATGTTCCTGTAACCAGTAAGGCTGCCATGTTTTAAACTAATTGGAGTTTCCAAACATGCTACAGAGATACCAATAACCAGTAGCGCTTACCTACTACCCTGCCTTTTCACCATTTCCAAAATACTTTGGAAAAGCTTTCTTCTGCTACTTCTGTCTGCAGTGCTGCTTAGCATTTAGCATTTTCTGTAGAAATTTGTCTAGATTGTTACCACTGTTTTCTTATAGGTAGTTGGAAGAGAGGAAAAACATGTTCCTTTGCACTCACATTGTCTGAGAATTGGAGAATAGCATATTTGGATTTAAATTCATGTAATCAGTTCAGGCCATACAACCAGTCTCCACCTGGTGAATGCAAAAAAATATATAGACCTATGCTCTTTTTAAAAAACATACTGAAGGATCTGGTAAGGCAGGCATATCTGTTCTCCCCCTTTTGCAATTCATACATGCTCACCAAGGGATTCTGGTAGGAGTTGCTGTGCAACTTGCCTATTGTAGGTAGGCACACACAGCTATAAAATAATTGACTTAGAATAGGATCCTGCTTTTTTTAACCTTAAGCTTCATTGCATTTATGCAGGCAGGCTCCTGTAACCTGACACTGAAAAACTGTGTATCTCCAGTATTTTTTCACCCTACTCCCAATGCTGATGTTGCTAAAATATTCCAGGGAGTCAGAGAATGAAGAAAAAAGGGAGGGCTAGGCAGGTATAAAAATATTTTGTAAAAAATAAAAAAAGAGCTTCTTTGGTCCGAAACTTTGGGTACTTCTAAACTTTAGGACGAAGGGCCAGCAAATCGACTCTGTGGCAGCTAAATAATGCACACATCTAAACACAGGCCAAAACTATTTAACATGGCCTTGAACCACGTTAACCAAAGATGCTGATTGCTCTGAATTCTCTCCCAGAATCTGGAGTAATCTGAGCCAGTTCCAAGATGGGATGCAGCTGTTTATACAGCTATCCATGTTCCCCAGGCTCAAGCAGCCCTGGGACACAGGTTGGCACTCATTGTCCCCTTTCATTCTCCTCATTGCAGTAGCCAGCAGGTGCTATCCTAGCCAGAGTGGCAAGGCGATTGGAGAAGCAAAAGGGGGGGGGGGGGGGGGGGCTTGTTGCTATGGCACCATGGACAATATCAATTCAAGCAATGACTGACCCACACAACCAATGCCACATCTGCTGGCCATCGCAACAAAGAAAACAGGTGGTGGTAAAGTTGGCTGTGCTGTGAGGCCACTGAATGGTTAGGACTCCCTTCTGCTTCATAGCAGCCAGGGGATGATGGTCTAAACCATCCCAGGTTCTCCATGCCAGATCCCAGGTTCTCCATGCCCCTGGATAAGTAATGAATCCATTAACTGAGATATTTTATCATCATATTTACCATGGTCTCTTAATATGTTTTACAAATATTTACACTTATCTGATGTTCCTTATTTATTTCAGTTGCAAAATCTAACCATTAGCAGAATCATTAATTGTCTGCAGAAAACAAGACTACACTGTGTGGGTGGGAAAGGTAGAAAAATCCATGTGTACAGCTGGGAGGAACAGGCACACAATCTTTGTCAAAGGACTGGTGTCTGACCTCTAAAATATCCAAACTGCTACCTCAAGGTTTTTAAAAAGTCTCTTATCAATGATTTTTCATACAGGCTGAATCATAGCATCTTTACATTTCCTTGATTTGGATCTGGACTGACAGATTTTCACTGTATGACAATTGCATTGTGAAAACTGGATTGAGTCTGAGTTGATGTTTTTATATGTGCATGTGTTTTATTTTGTGATCACTTTTATGTTTTTTTTAGACACTTTGTGCTGTCTGTAAGCCGCCCCGAGTCCATTTGAGGAGATGGTGGCAGGATATAAGAATAAAGTTGTTGTTGTTGGATCCATTCTGTATTTGATTGTTGTGTACCTTCATTTCCAGAATACAAAGAAGTTTAACTATAATATGCAAACTCAGGGCTCAGCCTGTCAGAAAGGAAGAAATGATATCTTTAATGAAAAAGATTTTAGAATATTATTAAATCAATTTGGCTGTATTTTTTTTCCTGAGCTGTCGCCTTTTCTTTTTCCTCAGGTACTGCAGAATCTGGGAAAAGACCATTATCCGCCACAGTCTTTAGAACAAGTTGGAACTCGAATAGCCAAAGTTCTAGAAAAGGTAGCTTCACACATCACAGCGATTTGAGCTGAGTGATAACCATCTCTGTTATCTATAGTATTGCCTTAACAATTGCTGTGCTGATCATATTGGTCTTGTACGAGACATCATACAGTGTAGTATAATCAATGTCTACATGGGAGACAGGATAAAAACAGTCTGGCATGCAGTCTGTGAGACATTAATTGCACAACAAAAATAGAGACTTGATTCTACCATAGTCATAATACATAGTACTGATTACTTCATTGTGTCGGGTATCTCTTCTTCAACAGTTAGCTTCTTAGCCTAATGATTTATAGTTGTGCCCTTGTTTCAGGGTTACACACAACAACAGGGAAAGTTTTTTGTCCCCAGCCAGAGAGAAAGCTAATCCCTTGTGATTTTCCAAATCCCCTTTCCCAGAGTACCTTTAGCCTCAAAAGACCTATCCAGAACCCAGCAGAATATTGGCTGCTTGGAGTCAGCAGTTTTCTTTCTAGACAATGACAGAGAAGGCTTCCACTGCACACATTTTGCTCGTGCTGCTGCCTCTGTACTAGTGCCACTTATACTGATGTAGTTATGCTGGTCAGCAGGAACTCAGTATTTTAAATTCATGATATGTTAAGAATCTAACCTCATCTCTGCATCATAAAGCAGCAAAAGTATCTAATTATGTCCTGAATTGTTGTTTAATGCATTGAAAGAGTGAGTGTGAATGAATAAACTGAGGCTCCATCCAGACAAGATAGATAGTCCAAACAAGACAGTAGCACCAGACACAACTATAAACCTCACTGTTGAAACTAGACTCCCTCTGAGTTTTTAGCTAGGAGTGTTTTTGGGATGACTGCTCCTGAAAGTCCAGGTTGCTTTTTAACCAGGAGAAATTTCACCCAGCTTTGATTGGTCTACCCTTCCCTAGAAAAGCTAGATCTAGACCAGTGGTTTCCAACCTGTGGTCCGTGGATCACCAGTGGTCCGCAAGAACTAAAATATGGTCTGCGGCCTCACTGTTACTACACTGTTGCAATGAGAGCGTCTAGTCTCACAAAACCCTCTTATAGTGCCAAAGCTTATTAAATATGATTTCTGTGGGTGAGCAGATGGAAACTACTGGATGGCATATGTTCTGTATCAGAAACTACAGCTGATGTGGTCTATCCAATGCAGATTTCTGAATCAGCACCCCAAATAACCAAACCGAATCTAAAGTTGACCAAAAACTGATTTGTAACTCTTTTTGTATTAATATTGTAAAGGCTTCCTCTTCGTTGTCTGATATTCTATTCAATCTAGTACACTGCCACCATCTGGGGGGTACTAGGCCATGCTGCCACCAATTAATAAGAGTTTCCTATTTAGTTTATTAATGGATTCCCCTATTTTCAAATATATTCACTGCTACCACTCTGTAGTGTTTCTTTTGGTGTGTAGCGAGGTTTCCTTTCTTTTCTTTGAAATAGTGCACTGAGACTTGAGTTACTAAAACAAGAACAAGTTTATTTGGAGTATGGAAGCGTCTTCATGTTTTCAGAGTTCTCTTCTCCTGAGGTATAAAGCTTTACGAATTACAGTTTCAACAAATCTTAATATAACTTTAGGATGTCTTTTACTTCACCAACTAGTTATTTAGTTGTTACACTTCTAAATATGTTTCCTTATTTGACAGATTAACTAAGGTCTGCTAATGCCCTTGTCTCCCTTCAGCTTCCTGCTGAAGTAAAGATTCCCAGTGGGATTCCTTCTTCTATTAGCACACAGCCAAACCACAAACCTAAATAAGTTCCCTTGACTTATTTAAATCACTCGGGCTAAAAGCTTTCCCTTAGTTTGGTTCACCACACGTTTGAACCACCTTCCCTTTGGCTTGATGACCAAAGGACTGAAGTCTCAAAATGTCTGCTTCTGGAAAGTGCAGTTGGCTCCACCCCTTTCTCCATGGCAACCTAACTCAGAGTGCTGAGCTTGGTCCCATCCCCCTAGTTCTGCCATTTCTAAATAGTTAACCCTTTATGTACATCCATGACTGTCTTTTACCTCCTGAACACATACATATAATAATATTCAACCATCTAAGCATATATATATATATATATATATATATATATATATATATATATACACACACACACACACACACATACATACACACATACATACATACATACATACATACATACATACAATCATATTTAACATATACATTGACCACCTCTTGTGAGTGCTTTGATTGTATGTTCCTACATGGCAGGAATGGATGGCCCTTGCTCAAGTCAAAGTGCTCTTTTTACAAAGCCTAAATGGAAAATTTCCTCCTCTCATATGAAGCTGCTTGAAATTTTGAGACCTTCAAAATCTAATAAGAATGTAGGACATTGAATATATATGACAGTTTCTGAAGGACATCTAAGATGGCATTGTTTTGCATAACCTTCAATACCTAAAAGAGAGGTGACAGATCTGGTTGTTTAAAATGTATGTATCCACCGCACTTTAATGTTGATGCATTCCAATGAAAAATGTGTTATAGTGGGGAAAACACAATTGGCATAACACATTTCAAAGCAAAAGGCATAGGTCAAGTATGAACCTAATTTTTCTTTACTCAGATTTCAAAAAAGGTTTTCCCCAAATAGACCCCATTTCTTTGCTGTTAACATGCACCTCATTTTATTTATCTGTTTAATGTTGGGGAGGGGCATATCTCAGTGGTAAACACTTGTTTTGCATGCTAAAGATTGTGGGTTCTTCCATCTTTAGATACGGTGAAGGAAGAATCCTACCTAAAGCCTCAGGATATCAGTTGGTATTAATACAAGATTAGCAGGGTATCTGCTATGATTCAGTATTAGGTAGTTCACTCTGTTCCATCTAAGCAGCTTTAGTATGTCTTATGATTTAGACCTCCTTCTATGGTCTGAGTCGTTTGTGAGCACGACCCATGACCCAAGAAACACGTATTTTCTTTAATGTATTCAAATGATACATCAGCTTTATGTGAGGTGTCTCGTTATAGCATTTTAAAGACACAGTCTGTAAAGTTTGGTGCAAATAAAGTATTAAAAAATTAAAATTATCACGCCCATTTCCTGAAAATGTGGGGTTTGCTGCCACTGCTACTTCCCTGTAATGACATGACCTGGCCATGACTTTTGTAGGAACCTATCCCATAGATTTACAGAATTGTGGGCAGCATGTTGGGCTCAGATTTTGACATAAGCTCCAACATATATAAATTCTGAAATTGGTGGAATAGTTAGGAACTCTGGCCATTTCACCCACAGAATTCACCTAGCTCACCTGGAAAGTCTAAGTGTACTAATATCCTCTGGGTTTAAATGTGCGGGGGGGGGGGGGGGGGGGGGTGGATTAAAAGATATATTTTAAAAGGTAGAGGCTGCATCTTGTATTACACCGTAATTAAATGTATTTTTAATTTATGTAGAGTCTTTATGCCTCATCCTCCAACCAAAACTAACTAAGTTGATCATTTCCCACCCTCCCCCGTCCTCCTTATCATCATTACTATTTATTTTATTTTCATCCCATCTTTCTCTCTTTCACTCAAGGTGGCTATCAATAGATATATATCAATAGATATAAAACAACACTAATTAAAACAATGTGAATACATTAAAATACAAAAATAAAAATGCAAGCATTATTATCGCTAAACATTAACTCCATACCCAATCCCAGAATCCCAATCACACCATCCACAAAAACAATCTTAAAAAGGTAGGACACACAAGGAAAAACAGCCGTTTCTGGGTGCTCTTTTCTCCCTCAGCAGTGGAGGTTGGAAAATAGAGAAGGGGCTTTCACCAGTCAATGGAGCTAAATTTGACTGTTCTTCTCTCCCTCTGAAACTGGAGCAATGGCAGTTGGGATATGGATGGAGGGGCTCTCACTTGTTGCTTAGGTATTCTCCACCTTTCACAGGGCATGTGTTTATCTTTCTCTTTGGTGGTATATCAGGGTTTCAAACCACATGCACTCAGCAGGTCATAAATTGGTTCAAAGAGGCCGAGGGTCCTTTTTTATTCCTTTGAAGACTTATTAATGGTATTGTTCATTCCAGGCTCACACCTTTCCTCTTTCTCTGGCCACATTTCTTCCCCAGGACACCACATTGGGGAATGTGCCTTATAACAGACAATTGAGCAAATACTGTAAATCACCACAGAGTGGCAGCATTCTTACACACTCAGGAATAGGCAGGGTTCCAATTCTGGAAGAAAAATGCATAGCAATTATAACAGTAAGCAACATCTGCATACGTTATCTCATACATTATTCCCTATAAAAGCGAAGTGTTATCATATTCATACAAATCAGCCTTTAATTTTCCATAATTTTGGTATAAACTTAGGCTGGAGGAGAGAAATAACAAGGGCTTGGCAATCAGTAAGTGGCAATCCGTAATGTTCTACCTTTTCATGTTTTTTGTGCCATACCAGAATCAAACCTCGTGGGTCCTCTCCAGCATGGCAGCGCTCTACTGGAGGGTGAAAGGTCAAGGAAAGAAAGCAATTGACTGCCTCCGGCAAGCCTTACATCATACGCCGTACCACATGAAGGTGTGTAGGTAACATTGTCTACCTTGATTCACTGGGGCTGTTTGTTATATGTAGCTGTCTGTGTACATTCACTGAGTCACAGCAGAAGTGTAGCAGCTGTCCTGAAACCACTCTCTACAACAGTCTTATTTGCCAGCCTGACAAATTGGACTATAACTCTCACCATCTCCAGCAAAATAGCCATTAGGCATGGAGGTTAGGGTGTCAGGTGCTGTAATCCAGGGCATCTTGAGGTAGGCTGTTTTGTACCTTTGTAATGTGTATAAACAGTGTGAAAGGCACTTCACTCACAGTACTTATGGGTATCTTGCTGATTTTTATTCTTTGCTGTGCCAAATGGTAAGCCATTTTAGAGGGATTCCTTAGAGCTATGTGGAGGAGGCTTATTGGTTCTCCCCTTTCTTGAGAACAGCTTTTAAATTTTGTTTTAGAGGACTGTTGATCCCAGAATCCCCTTCCAGCATGTCTACTGTAACAGCAAAGGGAAATTCTGCCCTTGAAGAAATGCACTGAAGAAAAGCCTAATATGTGGAGCGCTTTCTTTCAATTGCCATCATTGTCAATGACCTGCTTTAAAAGGCAACACATTCTGCTCAACAGATTTGTTCCATTTTTCTTTTTCAGGATGTGCCACTCATAAGCCTAGCAAACATCTTCCACAATGCAAAGCTTTGGAATGATGCCATCGTTGTGGCTACAATGGCAGTAGAAATCGCCCCACACTTCGTTGTCAATCATTTCACATTGGCCAATGTCTATGTAGCAATGGTGAGTGAATAAATCACTAGATTCAGTTTCATTTCCTTGTATAGCATCCTGAAGCTCCAAGTATTACAGATGTTGGAATTTAGGAGCAAGAGCAGAATCCATAGCTTCAGATGGAGACAGCAAGCAGAAGTGGGATAGGGATTGTTCTTCTAGTTCTGATAGTTTGTATCATCTAATTCTCAGGGAATGGTTTAGTCAGCAATCATGCAATCTGTGTCTTCTTTCCTTTAGTCTGGTGTAGAGGACTTTTTTACCCACATATGTCAAAGTCATGACCCGTGGGCCAAATCCAGCCCGCCATGCCATTTTATGTGACACTCCAGATACAGGATTACAACTCCCATATTCTTCGTCATTGTACATCAATCGTTCCAAACCTTTGGTCCTCCAGGTGTTTTGGACTTCAGCTCCCACAATTCCTAACAACTGGTAAGCTGGCTGGGGTTTCTGGGAGTTGAAGTTCAAAACATCTGGAGGACCAAAGTTGGGAACCACTGTTATACATCATGACTAGAGCTGATGGGGGCTTTATACAGTCACATCTGTTTAGTCAGGATACCGAAGTTTGAATTTAGATGCAAGACTTGTGGATATGATATCTGACCTTAAAATGCCCTTTAACCTTTCCCCAATCTCAGAACCACAAGTGCTGTTGGCTTGCAATTCTCATTATCCCCAGTCTGCATGGCAGATAATCAAGTGATAAGTTTTGTAGCTTAATAACATCTCAGGACTCAAATTGGGTAAAAACTAAAGAGCTCTGACCACTATGTAAAAATAGTATAGTTGGCTCTCTGTATCCACTAATTCTCCATCCATGGATTCAATGGCCCTTTAGAGGCAACCTTAAGGCTGATGCGGCCCTTGATGAAAATGAGTTTGACACCCCTGCCTTAGCTGCCATTAAAAACAGCACTGTAGGCCACACACTATCCTCACCCCACAGAGCATGCTGTGCTCTTCTATCTATTACAACACTGTTCTCCAGTTCCCAGCATGGCATATCTAGTTGATCCATACCTCAGCCTCTCCTTTCACCTACACTGTTGCTAGCTGGTCTTAGGAAGGTCATTCAACCTTTCAATAATGTTTGCATATGTACACACATATACCCTTATGAATATTTGCATCCATATGAATACAAGTAAATGCAAAATCACCAGCTCATTAGATTTACCTGATGAGCTTTTTATATAACAGGCATGCATTGGGCACCTTCAGGCATGGAACCTGCATGACATAACAGCAGGTTCGGGCAGTGTCTAGAAGCCATCAGTCACCCTCTGTGCAAAGATTCCTATCTTCATTTTCATCCCCATCTCATTCACCCCAAAATATTTTCTAACTATCAAAGGCAAAGTGTACACATTGGAACAATTGTTGAAATGGCAATATTTCCTATTACCTATGCAAATACATGGAAAAGTACTTAATAATATGTGGTAATTAATATTATTTTAGGAAACTCATGGTGATCCACCACACATATCCTTATAAATACCAATCAGATTTTCTTTTCCTGCTTTAGCTAATAAAAAGGGAAGTTATTTACATCACTCAGAGTAAGGAAAATAATGGAGAAGAGGGAGAAATAGTCACTGCTTGATAAAAGCTTTTTCATAATTAGGAAGAGTGCTAACCTTGCAAATTAGCAGATTGGGCAGGAAGAATATGGCAATACTAAAAAAGCCTCTTTTGGTCAAAGATTAACAGTAGGGAGCAGCAAAGGAAAACATATGTCTTGGTTGATCTTACCAAACAATCCTGTGACTTTTCAATGGATGATTTTTTTACTCTCTGGCTATACATTTCTGAAAAGATCTGACCTGATGCATTGTGCCTTGCATAATAATAATAATAATAATAATAATAATAATAATAATAAGAAGAAGAAGAAGAAGAAGAAGAAGAAGAAGAAGAAGAAGAAGATCCAAGACAACAACCCATCATTGTTTGCTGTGTACTAATCTTGTGTTTCAAATAATAATAATAATAATAATAATAATAATAATAATAATAATAATAATACTTTATTTCTATACTGCCCTCTCTCCCCGAGGGGACTCAGGGTGGTTTACACATAAGAAGGCAGACATTCAATGCCAAATGCTAACATTAAAAGCAATACAATACAATTTAAAATATACAAATATACAAATATTAAAACAGTATTAAGCATCATTAATATTAAAAACAATTCAGATTAAATACATAAAAACTTGTAAATACACAGCAGCCTCTGACATGATCTTTAAAACCTTCTTCTTTAAAAGCCTGCCTGAATGAAAAGGTTTTAGCCCCTGGAAGCTCAGCAAGGAAGAGGCCATTCTGCTTCCCTGGGCAGGGAGTTCCAAAGTCAAGGAGCCACCACTAAGAAGGAAGGCCCACTCTCTCCCCACCAGCAGAGCTTGAGATGGAGGTGGGACTGAGAGAAGGACTTCTCTTGAAGAACTCAGGGCCCGGGCAGGTTTTCATAAGGAGACATCGTCAGCCAAATAGTCTGGACCTAAATTATCTAGGGCTCTAAAGGTCATAACCAGCACTTTGAATTATGTCTGGAAACAAACTGGCAGCCAGTGGAGCTACTGTAACAGATGGGTTGCCTGCCTCTATAGTCAGCCCCAGTTAGCAAGCTGGGTGCTGCTCTTTGGACCAGCTGAAGTTTCTGAACACTCTTCATAGGCAGCCCTACGTAGAGTGTGTTACAGCGATCCAGATGGGATATAACTAAGGCATGTACCATCACGGCCAGATCTGGCTTCTCAAGATCTGTACCATAAATATCCATGCCTCAGGTCATAGACTTCTAATTCTGATAGTCTTTTGTTTTGGACCACAAAGTATATTTTTCAAATTTGCTGGAGTGAAATGTCCTCTTTGCTTTATCCCTTGCTATGTTTTGAGTTTCACTCTGAACTTTTTTCTTTGCAAAATAAACTTAGATATGTTATTATTATTTATATTCTGCCTTTCTCCCCATAGGATTCAAGGCGGCTAACATCTATCCACATTAAACAGTTTTTTAAAAGCAATACAAAAGTTAAAAACAATTTAATAATAACAGTATAGTATAATTAAAATACAGCAAATACATTAAAATGGCCTTTAAAATTCATCCCCCCCCCCCACACACACACACACACAATCTCACCCACCCACCCCAGAGCTTCCCCTTATCCTTCCCCAAAAGCCTTTGGGCAGAGGAAAGTCTTGACCTGCTTGCGGACCAGCAGTGATGGGGCCATTCTGGTTTCTCTTGGGAGAGAATTCCACAGCCTGGGAGTAGCCATTGAAAAAGCCCTCTCCTGTGTTCCCACCAAGCATGCTTGAATGGGTAGTGGGGCCGAAAGAAGGTCCTCCCTAGTAGATCGTAGATGACTCACAAATTCATAGAAAGAGATGCAGTCCTTCAGATAATCTGGACTGGAGCCATATAGGGCTTTGTAGGTCAAAAAAGCACAGAAACGTATTGGCAGCCAGTGGAGATGTCACAGCTCTTTGGGCCAACTGAAGTTTCCGAACACTTTTCAAAGGCAGCTTCATGTAGAGTGCATTACAGTAGTCCAACCAGGATGTAACCAAGGCATGTACCACCGTGGCCAGATTTGACTTCTCCAGGAAAGGGCTATATATCCTTCTGCCATTGTTTAAATGACAAATCCTTTGTCAAAACTGGTAGTATCTGGAATAGGAACATTCTAGGTAATACATTCATTTTTTTATCACTGATATCCTTCCTAACAAAGACCAGTTTAAATTTCACATTTTCTGCATGTTCCATTACACAACTTAACATAGTTATTTTAAAATAATATACATTTCATATTTGTCATTGTAATGCCTAAATATTTCATCCTTTCTTTCCATTTTAAATCCAGTTGTCTGTATCAGTTCTGTTTGAGCTATCATGTTTATGTTTTTAACCAGCATCATTGGCTTTTGTTTATTAATCTTGAATCCTGCCAGATCTCCAAAGGCTTTTAAATTAGTCATTAATCTTGTTATATGCTTCAACGGATTTTTTCAAAGTAATCACCAGATCATCTGTAAATGCTCTTAATTTATAAGATTTTTTTTATTTTTATAGCTCACAGTTTTATTTGAGACTTCAGGTACTAAAATAAGCAAAATGGACAATGATAGACATCCTGGTCATGTTCTCAAATAGGTTAGATAACTCTCCATTAGGAGATTTCCGTACTGAATATATTGATGTAACCCATTTGATGAAAGTGTCACCAGAAGACATTTCTTCTAGGGCTGTTAATAAGGAAGGCCAGTTCAGATTGTCTGAAGACTTTTCTGCATCTAAGAAAATCAGTGTGGCCTATTTCTCATTGAACTGTTCTAAATATGCCCATATGTGTGAGTCTGTTTTTTCCATGTGCAAAAGGAGGTTATACATTGAAAAGAAGTTGGGCTAAAATTGCAAGTACGCAATAAGCTACAGTTTAAAAAGGGAAGACTTTAAAAAAAATTAATCATTCTGCTAGGGATGCTCTCCTCCAAGAACCACCAAATGGTTTTTTTTGCCTTCTGTCAGTCAAAATTCTGAATTATGGACCTATGGCAGGGAGTCAATATGTTATGATATGATCAATCTAGGCTATGGGGCCCCATTGGTGATTCACCCATAACTTTAAAAAAATGTACTCACCCTTTAGAAAGTATCTGTGGGGGCCCCTTTTGAGGCTTTTCTGGTTTACAGCCCAGAAAGCAAATTATACACACACACCCTTTGTATCCTAGAGAGTGATGACAATGTTTAGGGGTTTTTTTAAGTCACAAGTTTCTGTATAAATAAGAATATTTTATCGGTGGGAATAGATCAGAGAGTGAGTGGTTCTATATGACCCCCAGACTCAGGTAATTCCCTGCCTCAGCTTTATAATATGGCAGCCAACCAAACATACTGTTCCATATGGAATGTGTTTTGTATGGTGACCTCATACATGCCAGGCTAACATAATTGAACTGAGCCAAGAGATGTCATGAAGTGTTTCTCACATTGAAGCATTATGCAGACAATTTCAATGGCTGGAGCAATGCAAAGATAACACATGTATCTTCCTTTATGCCATTCACAATAATCCAGTTCAGATAGAAGTTTTAACTATGGCCCCATCTACACTGCCATATAATAAATGCAGTTTGAAGCTGCATTATATGGTCAGTGTAGATTCATATAATGCAGTTTAACTGAATTGAGCTGCACTATATGAGTTAGACTCTACACCAGTGGTTCTCAACCTTCCTGATGCTGCAACCCCTAAATACAGTTCCTCATGTTGTGATGACCCCCCCCCCACCATAAAATATTTTCGTTGCCACTGCATAACTGTAATTTCTGAACTACTGTTATGAACCGTAATGTAAATATCTGATATGCAGGATGTATTTTCATTCACTTGACTAAATTTAGCACAAATACCCAAGATGCCCAAATTTGAATACTAGTAGGATTGTGGGGAGGGATTGATTTTGTCATTGGGGAATTGTAGTTGATGAGATTTATAGTTAACTTACAATCAAAGAGCAGTCTGAACTCCACCAGTGATGGAATTGAACCAAACTTGGCACACAGAACTCCCACGACCAACAGAAAATACTGGAGAGATTTGGTGCGCATTGACCTTGAGTTTTGGAGTTGTAGTTCGCCTACAACTCAAACAAAGATAGGTCTGGACCAAACTTGGCAAAAATACTCAATATGCCCAAATGTGAACACTGGTGGAGTTTGGGGAAAATAGACCTGGACATTTGGGAGTTGTAGTTGCTGTGATTTATAGTTCACCCACAATCAAAGAGCATTCTGAACCCTACCGACTATAGAATTGGGCCAAACTTCCCACATAGAACCCCCATGACCAACTGAAAATACTGTGTTTTCTGATGCTCTTTGGCGACTTCTCTGACACCCTCCAGAGGCTCCAACCCCCAGGTTGAGAAACTGCATTAATATGTCAGTGTAGATGGGGCCTATGTTTTAGCCCTGGGTCCAGTATGTGGGAATCAAGTGACCTCAGATACTGTTAGACTACACCTCCCAGCATTCTCCACTGTTGGCTTTGTTGATTCGAACTGTTGAGACATGCTATTCACGAACCCTTTAAAGAAACAGCAAAAGTGTGGGGGAAAAGAAAGAAGTTAAATCCAGGCAATGAGAATAAGATCCTCTTAGTTATTGTGACCTTTTCAATTTTATCTATATTATTCCATTTACAATTTCTTATTTCCACATTTAACATATTAACTATATAGTTATGCCAATTAGTCAGTGTCCATTTTGTTTTATCTTTCCAACCCCTCACTAAAACAATTTGTGCACACGCTATTAATTTGTCAACCAATTTTTCCTTTTGTATATTCTTCACTTCTGTTATTTGTGCACGTAGTACATTTCTATTAACCATTACTATTTGTAAATTTAACATTCTATTGATTTCTCCTTCAATCACTTTCCAGTATTCTTGCACTTGATCACATTCCCATATCATATGATTAAACACCCCTCTTTGTTCACAACCATGCCAACACCTATCTTTTATCCCTGGTACGAAGTGTGAAAGTTGGGCAACTATATGGCAAATGAATTATAATAGTGATGAAATTATAGGCAAAACATTGAGATTAATTGAAAGTAGAGGGAAAAGGTTAGTAGACGATCTCTATACAGATGATGAAAACCCTGTAGAACAAAAAGAAATTCAGAATTGGATAGGGTCAGGGAATTGGATTCAAAGCTGGGCTATAAGACAGGAAATTTTTAGACGGAGGGGAAAATTAGAGAACAGGATAGTCCATTTGAGATGGTGATTAGGAAATGTTTGAGAGGGGAGAAGAAAGTGGCAGGAGATCTGTACGACCAAATCATAACAGTAAAAGAAGAAATAATAGAGGAAATTTTCCAAACATGGAGAATTGGACATGGAAATTGAGAGGGAAGACATCCAAAGGGAAATAAGTAATATAGCAAAAGAAAAGTATAATGTATTAAGGGAAGCAAGAAGGAAAATGTTACAAAAATGGTACAGAACTCCTGCACAACTTTCACGCTTTGTACCAGGGATAAAGGATAGGTGTTGGCATGGTTGTGAACAAAGAGGGGTGTTTAATCATATGATATGGGAATGTGATTGAGTGCAAGAATACTGGAGAATGATTGAAGGAGAAATCAATAGAATGTTGAATTTACAAATAGTAATAGTTAATAGAAATGTACTACGTGCACAAATAACAGAAGTGAAGAATATACAAAAGGAAAAATTGGTTGACAAATTAATAGCGTGTGCACAAATTGTTTTAGTGAGGGATTGGAAGGATAAAACAAAATGGACACTGACTAATTGGTATAACTATATAGTTAATATGTTAAATGTGGAAATAAGAAATTGTAAATGGAATAAAATTGAAAAGGTCACAATAACTAAGAGGATGTGGGAACCAGTTAGGAATTATTTAGAAAATGTGCTAAGTTGTGGAGTAGAAAAAATAAGACTGAGACTGATATTTCAAATGTAACTTCTGTAGTTTGATGTATAAATTGCATATACAAGGATGGGAGGGTGGGAGTGGGGAAAAACCAATAAAACAATAAAAAAGACAAAAAAGAGAGACATGCTATTCACCAGCATCTAGAGGACCGCATGATTCCCATGATGTACTACATAGACAAAGAAGCCAAGCGCTCAGACCTAAGTGCTTCTCTTCCTCTCTCCTTCTTCAGCACAGGCAGCAAAAGGGTATTGGAAGCATTCCTTCCAGAATTAAAATGATTTCTATTGACCACTAAATGTGATCAGGACAAATCGTGGTTAAAGGTGTGGTTGACTGAAATAAGGCTAGATCATGCCGTGACTTCGATCAAGGCTGGTTCTAATAAACCACAGTGTGGGATTTATGCTCTTATTTTAATGTCCTCAAAGCCCAAACCTTTTCAATTCTGGAATTGTGGTATATGATCATTTTACTTCAGGGGATAGGACACTGATTTATCACACAGATAAGAAGTACTTAATAGTAGCATTTGTATTTTTAGTGAAATTTGTCTCACCCACATCTTTTAACTTTGTGAAAAAAATGTTGGTTTTGTGAAATATATAAAATGACTAGGTTGTTGTAGGTTTTTCGGGCTATATGGCTATATTCTAGAAGCATTCTCTCCTGGCGTTTTGCCTGCATCTATGGCAGGCATCCCCAGAGAACATGGCCATATAGCCTGAAAAACTTACAACAACCCAGTGATTCCAGCCATGAAAGCCTTCACAATACAAATACAATTTCCTCAGTTTTTTGTTTTCATTAATATACTGGGTCCAATAATGTTTCAGTCTTTCATGAATACAGAGAAATTTTAGTCTTTTCCACACTAGCTCAGTAGGATAGTACCCATTCGGTATATAATGTGCTGTGATCTGTGTTACTTTGTCGTCTTAATGGTTATTCATCTGTGATATCTGCAGGAGGAGTTCGAGAAGGCCATGAGATGGTATGAATCAACATTGAAACTCCAACCTGAATTTGCACCAGCAAAGAATCGAATTCGTGCCATTCAGTGTCATTTACTCATGAAAAAGGAGAGACGTTCACCTTGAGATCACAGTCTTCCTCCCTTTTTCTTGTATCTGTTTTTTTAAACAACGAAATCATTGTTCACTATTATGCTTGTAATGAGGTGTGCTAACACAAATTCAGAATCTGGGTTTTCAACTAAGATTTGGGAATTGGGTTTTTTGTTGTTGTTTTTTTCACACATCTTTTGAGGGGAGGGACTTTAGTAAGAGCAAGCTCTTACCAAACATCTGTATGATTAGATACCAAACTCAACAATCTTCCACATTCCTGTGATCCCACATTTTCCATCATTCTCCATTTGACGCCAGCGTAGACTGTAACCTGCTTCTTGTCTTAGCATATCTATGAAAATGCAAAGCACATCATTGCAGCAGACACTGTACGTAGCAAGAAGCCATAATTAGCTTTTCATCCATCAGGAAAACATGTTCTATCCCCTCACCCAGTCCATATTGCAGCGTTACCAGCTCAGAGATAGATGTGAGATAAGAAAGCAAGTGGTGGCAAGCCATTTTAATGTGTTTAAGAACACAAATACTTTTTATTGACTGTTGTTTTATGGGGAAGAAACAGAATCATATTCATTGTGAAATGGTATTTTTGTTACAAAAAGAAAAGGGAAACAAAAAAAACAAAGGGTTTTTTTTAAATAAATATATCAATATATATTTGAAGCCCTGGGCAGCCTTTAGCCTCTCTTTATGAATAATATGTTTCACCAACTGCGTGTAAGGTGCAAATGTTACAGGCATGTGTAAACATGCTTTTCTTCTCTGTGTGTCTCTGAAAGCTAGAGAAAATCAGAGAAGCCAAATGGTCTGTTTCCAAATCAGCGTCCGCCTGGGACAGTAAAGGATCTCAACTGAATCAACAAAGGCACAGAACTTGGAACAAAAATAAACAATTATGTTAATGAACAGAATATTGAGTCCTATTTTTTAAATAGTTAAATGCTTTTGCTAAAAATGTGCAGAATGTTCAATAGAGGTGAAGTTCTACTTTAACACATATGGTGTAAAACTGTTTGAATAGTAATCTATATGAGTCCACTTTAAATGTGGTCAAATCTACACAGAACAAAATAGGAGAACTGCAGTGGTCCTATTCCCATGTCCCCTTTGCCCTGTCTATTGCACATTCATTGTGGGGCAAAGTTTGAAAGGGGGGGGGGGCTTGGCTTACTGAAGTGTCCTCCCAGATTCAGAACCCAACAAGCTGAAATGATAAGCTGAACAGAACTTTGAAAAGTTACTGGTTTGGGCTTCCCAGAACTACCTGCCTAAAATAACCAGTTATCTGCATTGTTCTGGCACCTTCAGTCAAAAATCTCTTCTCCACCCCCCCCCCCCCCCCCCCCCCTCCCCAGGGCTGGCGATTTTAAGCAGTTTTCTGTGCTTTCCTACTGTTGTGGATTCACTCTGCCAAAGAGTTCTGTCACAGCCTTCTTTCACCACCATCAACAGTAGCAGCTCCTATAAAACAGCTGAACCATGATGGCTCTCCGAGTGTTGTTGGAGTGCAGGCCCCATCAGCTCTAGCCAGTATGTTCAAATGGGTGGTGTCCTCCTGTAGTCTGAGAATGTGAAAAGCAGGGATTATTGTCCTTTCTTCTCTGTTGGAGGATTTCTCATTACTTCCCTGCTACTTTCTGGCCATACTATGGTGGGAATGGAAAGAAAAGGGCAAGTGTGGCCAGATTGAAATATGCAAGAAGAAGACATTCTTTAAACTAGGTTATGTCAGAAGCCACTGTTGCCTGTAGGGAAAATCACTAAAGAGTATATGGTTGCTTTACTACTCCCAAGTACTTCCATGTAGTCGACATTAAAAGATGACATGAAAAGGGTGCGTTTGATACATTCATCCCCTATTTCTCCCTTTTGTAAACAAGGCTGGGAGGTTGTGGCTCTTTGAACCAGATTCTGAATAGATATGCTGGTGCAACAGTCCATTGCCTGCAGCGAAACTCAAGTATCTGGCTCTGTGGATCAGGTACATCATTTGTGAAGGACCATTGTGCTCCTCGCTGAAGCTTTACTTGTTCTTCAACAGCAATTTTGAATTCCGGGCTGCTGTGTGATGGGTGCTGGGTGAAGAGAGAACAAGGTCTGCTCATAGATCCTTGGGCCATTTGCACAAATTAGGAAGATTGGCAACCAAATTGCATAAATTGGCAATAATTGATTGGTGAAGGAATATTAAAGGGATATTTTGTCTTCTGATCTAAACTGCCATCATCCCTCCTCTGCTGTAACTCAGATACAGATGTGTAACTTTCTATAGGTCATTTGAGGATATAGTTCATAGAGTGCAATAGGTACTTGAGAAAAATGATCAGTCAACATTTGCATAAGATAGAATCCCTGTTACTGATAGACATCAACAATTAAACGGATACATGTCCATATCTCAAATATGAGGATCTACTATTGATCGACTGAATAATTTTCTCTTCACATTAATTGGCTGCAGTCTAGAGAATGTGGACATCTACTGAGAAAAAGGCTTGCTTGCCTTCTAGAAAATGGTTAGAATATGAGTATGACTTTCAAGAATGTGAAGATGTACTCGTTTTTCCAGGAAAATAAGATCAGTTCATTTTTTTTTCAGAACTCTATTATTAAACTTAACAAATGACTCAGCAGATACCTAATCTTTTCATTATGTCCCACAAAAAGAGTAACTTGATCTTCCCAGGGAACCTTTTCCTTTTTTTTTTTTTTTACAGCTGATGTTCTACATCAGGAGTGGTATAAAAGAGGCACAAAAACAGCCTCTTTCTGGCTGTTTTTGTGCCCCCCCCCCCCAACCTCTTTGCTAGTCAAGAAGGGAAGGAAGAAAGAGAGAGCTATCTCTCTTGGAAGCTTTCATGTGCCGCAATTTATCTTTTCTTAATTGTTGTAGCAGGGGATCGACAACATTATGTAATATTTTAAGACCTCCCCCACCTCCAAACAGAGGAGGACTTACAACCACTTTCAAAGTTTTGTTTTCTTTCCCTCTCCCCCCCCCCCCCCCCCCCCCCCCCCACCAACTGCAGTTGCCCATGGAAATGAGCTGTCAGGAGGCAAAATTCGGGAATGGCCTTGGCAATTTCAGAGGGCTGGGCTGGGCTAGTGCAAGGAGAAATATGGTGACCAGATGAAATGGGTGCAGTGCAATAACCAGGTCCCAGCAATGGCCATAATAGGGGGCTGGGGCTACTCATTTCCAGAGCCTATTTAGAGGACTGTAAAAAGTCTCGGCCAAGACTATGTTACAAAGTCTTCTCCAGACAACGGAGATAAAACACCTGGTATACAAATGCGGTAAATAAATAAATCTTAACATTTTAATTTTTTACCATGCAATGGCCTTGTCTTCCAAATTTCTGACTAGTTAGGCTTGGTATGGACAAAAGTGAGAATAGAAATGACTTATGGAAACATGTTCAGCTAGATTGTGCAAACCACACAATAGCATATTGTTAAATAGTCACCACGTTCTGTTATAGCCACATTACTAAAAGAACAGCACCATAATCTAAACAACATGTCTAAAGAGCTGGCTCTGTTGCTGCTCCAAAAAGAAAACATACCTTGGAAGTGCCTCAGTTCTGTTCCCTCAGTAGAAGTCCACAGGTTACTTAAGAGGATTGGAGCTAAATGAACAGGAAGCAAAGTGAATTTCAAATAATTATGTTGTTAAATGTTTACAGTACTGGAAACAGTATTCTGTTCTAGAGAGAAATACAGGAGTCTTCCTTAGATCTAAGTCTTGCCCAAGCAATTATGAATGAATAAAGACTAGTAACTTACCAAGTTAAATTTTGCCTCAAGCTCTAATTTTAAAAGCATATATGTGTGTGTGTGTGTGTGTGTGTGTGTGTGTGTGTGCTCATGCAAAACTGTGAGGGACTTCTCCCACAAGGGTTTAATGGGAAGCAATTTCTCTTATTTTAATTCACCATCCACTTAACTCTATCGAAATGAATGTGCTCGGAAACATTATTGGGAGTTTAGCATTCTGAAAGAAAGGGGTTGCAGTATCGTTAATATATGCACAATACTCATCTCTCTTTTTATCCACCACAGCTATCACCTTTGGATGTCAAAGTTTCCCAAATTGTATGTTTCCCAAATTGTTGTTGTTGGTTGTTCATTCGTTCAGTCATTTCCGACTCTTTGTGACCTCATGGACCAGCCCGTGCCAGAGCTCCCTGTCCACCGTCACCACCTCCAGCTCCTTCAAGATCAATCCAGTCACTTCAAGGATGCCATTCATCTTCCTTTTTCCTTCCATTTTCCCCAGCATAACTGTCTTCTCTAAGCTTTCCTTTCTTCTCGTGATGTGGCCAAAGTACTTCATCTTTGCCTCTACTATCCTTCCCTCCAATGAGCAGTTGGGCTTTATTTCCTGAAGTATGGACTGGTTGGATCTTCTTGTGGTTCAAGGCACTCTCAGAACTTTCCTCTAACACCACAGTTCAAAAGCACCTATCTTCCTTCGCTTGTTGAAGGCTTTCATGGCCAGAATCACTGGGTTGTTGTAGGTTTTTCGGGCTACATGGGCATGTTCTAGAAACATTCTCTCCTGATGTTTCGCCTGCATCTGTGGCAGGCATCCTCAGAGGTTGTGAGGTCTGTTGGAAACTAGGAAAATTGGATTTGTATATCTGTAGAATGTCCATTCCATTCCTCCACTATGGGACATCAAGTGTGTCTAGTTTTTTTCTATGACACAGTAACAACAATCTTTACTTGGAGCTGCTGACCCATGGAGGCTGTTTCAAATGGCTTTCTTGTAAAATTGGAATTTCATATTTTCTGTAAATATCAGTGTTCTGGAACAGCTGTTCCAGGAGCTCCAATTTTATTTGCTTTGAATTAAATGTTTGTTTGCAATCCCAGGCTTGGGATTTTGCAGCAGGGTGGCTTCCTGCTATAGTTTGCAGTCATAGGGCAAGCCCCTTGTCCATCTTCATTTAGCTTTGGTTCCGCCCCTTTTTCTGGGTTTTTGGGAAGAGAGAGGAACCATTTTAGTCAGTCACACACAAGGAAGCCAGTCTATAGCACGCAGATCAGCTTGTCCCATAGGAAAGGCTTCATTCCTCAAGGCCATCTGGGGTCCATCCAGAGATCACCCGGGGAAATAGAAACAGACCATCCTAGGGTCATCCAGTGACCATCCAGTAACTATCCAGGGAAACAGAAGGAAAAGGTCCCAAAGGCTCTTGCTGAGAGCTCACTGCCTCTCAGCCTCACAGCACCAGAGGGGGAAACAGCCCTGAAGTTTCCCCAGGACAGCATTACAGAACCACAGAATTCCAGCTAAATATCTTCTAGCTTCATCTGGTAGGTTACTCGGTTTCCAGACGCATTTGGGATTGGCAGTTATACCAAGACTAGCAAGGCCTAGGTGATGGACAGCCTGGGAGAGATAAAGGGTTCTTCCTCATGTTGAGATAGTACAGTTAAACCAAGTTAGTGCCAGTCTTTTAAGAAAGCCTTGAAGTGTTGTTTGAAGATTTGTTCCTTAATAAAGACTTTGTTGTACCTTTAAAGAACTCTAAAGCCCATTACTTCTGGAAGTCTCTAACAATCTCTCTTCGAGCACCCCGGCTTCCCACTGGGTTTAAAGTGTGCGTTCTATAGAATAAAGACATTTTGTTCAGGCCCAGTGGCGACAGAACAATCAGGTGTGTGTTGCAACATCTTCCTCTGACTTAAGACTGAGATGTGCCCCAACATGGAAGTCTGGCTTGAGCACAAAATTAGAAAGCAAAAAGGTTCCTAAGACAATCTTAAGGTACATCTATACCAGGAATGGGCAAACTTCAACCCTCCGGGTATTTTAAATTCAACACCTACAATTCCTAACAGCTGGGTGTTAGGAATTGTGGAAGTTGAAGTCCAAAACACCTGGAGGGCCGAAGTTTGGACG